CACTTTCACAGCCATATATTACTCTAATCTATCAATACATTCTTAGTGCCTGATAGCTTCAAATTTGGGACGTTTTAAGAAGTCAGCGCTTGTGATGAAATTCACGACCTCTGACCGTGTGTCACAAGCCCCAAAGGAGAAGCAAGCTTGATGAATTTAACTGCCCTGAACTGTTGAGTTCAAAATGTCCCATATCTCTGTTCAATAGTTTAATAAGATTTTAATTAGGCAATTAAAAGTCTTTGGAATAGCATATGGTCATAATTACAGCTGTATGGTTCACTCAGGGATGAATGAGCCTTTAATTACTCTTAGCTGGGTCTGGGGATTGGACTTAATGGGTCGAGCAGGAAAAAGAAGGTAATTTTTCAGACTTCACAGTCATCTAATCAGAAATACAGACTTCTGAATTTACATTAACGTTGGAACCGGGTTGGGTTGCACCAGTTATTCGTGAATCCATTACTAAGTTTGTGCGTAAAGTCTTTCCTACAACAAACATAAACAGGACACGGTTTTACAGGCGCAAAGAAATCTACGATTAGTAATATTCATGCAGTGTGAAGTGGTTCATTTGGTCATTGTGTCTAATGTTATTGGCATGGCATCTCGAAGAATTACGTGTTTTTGTTGAAATTTAATTAAAACTTCCCAGTTTACATCATTACAAAACATAATTTTATCAGGTGTCAGTTAATATGTGTCGACTATATTTTAGATAACTTATTCTACTTTTTACAAGTCATATCAGCAAACTAAAGTCTGTTTTAACAGTACGTTTATTTAGATGTAGAAATTACACCTGGAAGTTACTGGCAAACATAGTAGCATCTCTAGAAAATTGCTTGTTTTTTTGTTTTGTTTAGGAATGACTAAATTATTGTAATGTGAGAATACCTTGAAATGTACGACGTGTGATTTGTCACATTGTCACTTTGACCCGATGATGTGGCAGAAGCGCTGTAACGTCTTCCTCATAGATTGGTATCTTTAGATCTAGATGAGTAGTTTCAAAATAACCTGAGAGGCAGTCGGACCGGTGCAGAACTGTGTCAACACTGAACTCCCACATCGTTCACCTGGTGAATTAGCCAGCCAGTCCATATGTGTGGGCATGCTCCTCCATTAAAGCCTCTCCTTGACAGATAATGTCCTCCACATCTCACATCTGCTCCTTCACACATCCGAGAGCCCTTCAGCAGCCTGGAGGTGTCAAGGGGAACAAGAGGATCTGCTGATCACAGGTTGAAGGCCACAGCACGTGTCTTGGGTTGTCTGAGGGGTGTGACGTAGGTGGCCAGCATGTGTGCGTCTGTGTGTGTGTGTCTGTACAGGTGGCTTCCTGGGATGGCAGGCATGCCAAGAGGTCATATTTATCAGTCAACACTTTTCCAGTCAACAGGCTGTGTGTGGAATCCAGGGAGCCTTGACCCTCCTACTCTACTCGGGTGGCAAACGCTAATGTTGGTGCCACCTGTTTCAGCAGTATATACGCAGTGCTGCTATATATAAGACTCAGAGTCTTATAAGTAGTGCTGTCATTGGACAATCTCTGCCATTCAGTGACATAGTGATACTGTTACTGTATACCAGGAGCTGTATTACAGGAAATGACTCGTAAAGGGTGCTGGGAATTTTCCTGTTCAGTGAAATATAAAACGCATTTCCTCTTTGTTGGCGTACTCTACTGTGAAAAAGGAAACGTCCAGTGGTATATTCTGGTATATGATATGCTCTTTTAACTTATTGTGATAGTTTTATACAGTTAATTGTACTTTGCATTGAACTTATTGTGCAAGCTTTCAGTTTCATTTTGATGAAGTTGACCATGTGTGGGAGTTTTACTCCTATTACAACCACATGTAACTCACTCACTATTCCCAGCAGAGCCTCTCATTGCGTCATTTAATGTTTTCTTCCCCTCTTCAGATATTTATTTTTACTTCATGGACTTTTCAATACTATTCGTTATATGGATGATGGGCTAGTGAGCAAATCAGTCAGTCAGTCAGAAAGGGACAACTTTTGTGTCACTTATTTCTCCATCCAAAAGCACAACATCCGGTTTCCAGTCCTAATTTGTCACCCCCACACACACTTACTGTCCAGATATGATAATTTAGGTGAGGGAAGCCCTGATTTGATGCTAATGTTAAAACCTTTTTCAATCATTACCCTGCACTTAGAGCAACATACGCTTTGTGAGCAGTGGTGAGTGCCTGTTGAACTTTCTTTGGCCCAGGTTTTGCCTCTCCAGCCCCGTGCAGGCTGCCCTAACCCTCTGGTTGATGGAGGTTGTTGGGGTTGGTCACAGCTTGACAGGAAACTCTGTGAACCTTCCTCAGAATTAAAGAAAAACTCACCCTCCATTGCATGTTCGGGAAAAGATATATGACGTATCTGTTTTTATTTGAAGTTGACAAAGTGTAATTTTATTATCTATTTGAGCATCTGTCAAAGCTAAGGTTCCTGTCACAAGAACTGATTTTAAATGACTAAAATCAAAGCTGTGCCTTTGATTAGAGCCTCGATGTTTTATTGTCTGTAGTAAAAGTTAAGTTAATCATATGCAATGATTATGTCAAACTGATCTGATAAGGCAGATATGTTGCTGGAGGGGATATAGAAAGTAACCCTGGAAAGATTTAAGAGGAGATCATAGACGGAGAGATGGGAGAGTATCATCCATAGCCAGAGCACACTATCACATCTGTGTCGGGAGTGAAAGGGATGATTCAGTTTATGCATCATGCAGGAGAGAGCAGTGAAGTGCAGAGTTGCATATAGATTTCTGTGCTGTCAGAGGAGCCCTTGTTCTCTCACTCACGCTGAGTCGAGCTCTCTCCACGTATCTCGGTTGGATTCAGCTTGATGCATGCGGGCCTCTTTTTCTGACTGTCACACGAACCCCAGAATTAATGTTAGCTTCACAAGTGGTGTCTCACTTTGAATTGTTCCACACAAAGGACGCTAATGATGCTTATGGCCACCCTCCTTGTCTATTGCATGTTCCAGACCACTGACATCACGTCGGCTGCTGGCAGGGGGCATTGTTCCAAAAATCTTCAGACAGTGACCGAATGTTTTAGAAGCAGAAGCTCGTAACCTCGTCTGCTTTTGTCGTCATGACCATTAAGATTCACATTCCCGCTGCTGTAGGTTGAAATTCTTCAATGCCCAGACATACTTGATTATATTTAGTTTTATAGCTTTTACAAATCTGGACTGTCTACAAGTGATAAAAGGAATGATGGATTTTGATCTATTAGATCTCCGATCGACGTATTTAAAAAAAAGAAATTTCAGAGACATTAAATGAAACGTCCTAACTTAACTCAGAGGAATAAGACATAATTTGTCCTTAGCTTCACTAAGTGTTATTTGTCCTTTTGGAGACTAAATTGACAGAAGAGAGTATGTCTGCCTGTGTTTGTCAAATTCAAGTTCAATGTGTGTCTCTCCTGCTGTAGAAATAACCCTCTTTCTGTCTTGTTCTCTGGCCTTTATCATGGCATTTCCTGCTCCTTCAAATGTCATCTTTCCAGCTCAGATTTGGAGAGCTCTGTGTTTGCAACAAGCGTCAGACTGCTTATTGACTAAGAGTCAGGAGCCCCGTGATAGAAACCGGGAATAGCTTGACTCACTACCTTTTCGCTATTGATTGCCATACCTCACATGAAACTGAATCTCCTGTTAGTTGCATTTAATGAGGAGCTCCCTCTGGCAGCTGTACTGGAGTGATTGCAGCTGTAACAGGGATGTCTATATTGACTTCCCCTTCACGTCTCACTACGTTCATTTAATCAGCATTATTGGTATAATAGTTGTCTTGTGGCTTTGTTCTGATGTCTTAAGAATTGTTGTCGAAGCTACAAAGGAGTTTGCAAGTGTCAACTTAGATAAAAAAACCGAAACGTTAATCTGCAGTGATCTGTATTTATTTGAGGAAAACTGAATAGCAGACCTATACAAATATTTAACAAATTTCCTTTGTCTTTGGACAAAGGAAATTCCTATTTCCAACTGCAAGCATTCAGAACTAAAGCCCCGTATGACCTGTGGGTGTCAAAACAACCAGTGGTATCAGTGGTTATTTTGTACAAACGCCATCTCACCACTCAGTAATTATACTAAGGTTCAACCAAAGTAAACTGTGAGACAAAAACTCCTCTGTTTCCTATGATATGAGCTGTATTGGGGTGTCACACCTCTTCATTGTCTTTGAGCTCTAACAAATATTTCCGAGAAATCTCTTCCCTTGCCTGCGCATTGCACAATACAGCAGGTACGTGCAGTTCAGATAAGATTTGGGAGTGTAAGGTTGGTTTGTCACAAGCCGACACTATCAAATGACCTGACCTGAGCATTGTGCTCAAACACGTCCTGCAGCAAAGCTCATTCATGTACTATATTCTGTTAATGATCACTCAAGTGATATATCTGTTCTGAAGAGAAACTAAAAGCAGCTCTACATGACCTCAGATCTGTAGTTTGGAGAGGTCAAAGGTCATCTTGAGCCCCACGGATGTAAAGAGTTTGAATTAGTCCTTTTACACTCAAACTGTCAAATGTAATGTGGCATGATTGTTTTTTGTTTTGTTAAGAGAAAGACTCACAGCACACTGTCACTTTAAAAGACATGTTTTTAACACCTATTAGCTATTGTACAGGAGGGTGCTACAGTTGCACCCATTATAAGGAACTATAGTTACCAACGATAATTGTCATTATCAATCTGTCAATATTCTTTGATTGATTAATGAATTGTTCACTGTACAAATTGTACATTATAGATTGCTAATATGTCTGAGGGGACATCCTCAAATGTTTGTTTTTGCTGGTTCAAAGCAGCAAAATTAAAACGATTCATCAATTATCAAAGTGGTTGCAGATGCATTTTCGACACATCAATGAATCCACTTATTCATCCAGATCAGCAAAGAACCCCACACCTTTGCTTCTACAAAGCACTAATTTATTTGTTCCTTAATTCTTCACAGATCTCAGCTGAGACCCGGCGGTGCCACCTACGCATGGAGGCTGATCGGTGGAGGCTTTCTGTCTTGTTCTGAGGTCTCAGCTCTTTATTCCAAACCAGCATCATCTTCTGCAGGCCCAAAGGAGTCACCACAGTGCATAGGCCTTCCATTCAAGGAGCCTTGAGCTGCAGAAAGAGAGAGAGGGAGAGAATATAAACACGGCTTTAAAAAAGGCGCTCTTCATGAATTCCCGAAAAACCTAAAAGGCAAATACTGCGAGTTGGCTGGCGGTCCTGAGGAGGCATGTGGACAATGAGTATGGCTTGGCTCTGTCTCCCAGCCTACACCGTCTTCCTTGTTGGTTGCTTTCATACAGCTGTCACGGAAAGCGATGTCACTCCACGCCTCACCTTCTCCTACAGTAAGTTTTGTTAACTTCTTGACTATAGAATTACCAAGACATTGCTTTAACGTACTGCTAATGTATGGGATGTTTCTCTCACTATTTAGTCCCAAGCTTTTCTGGCACCATATGTAGGCCAGGCCTATAATTCTCTCAATCTCATTGGCCTGTTATTTATCAGTGAATAAAGGATGACTTACCTTGGGTGGGGTGGGGGGTGGGGGGGCCTGGGACTTCAGTTGTGGCTTCGTGAGAACATTTTGCACGAACAGCAGCACGTTGCAAACTTGCTTAGTCTTGGTCCGCGTAGTGAAGCTTCTACGAATCACATCTGGGAACTTGTATATAACTCCAACAGAAACAGCAGCTGTTTTCTAAACTATTTACTATTTAGTAGTTCTAGTATATAAGAAAGTAAACCGACCATTTTTTACTCTCACATCCTGCCTACAGCACTGATTATGTAGTTCCCAGTGGTGTCCCTGTTCATTAACTCTGTTCAGTGAAATGAATCAATACACTTCATATGTGTCCATTGTAAGAGCTAAAAGGATTTAGAGGGGTGAAATGGTGTTTGTCGACTCCATAATGATTTAAAATCCATGTAAATCCGCACTGTGAATGGCAGCTCCAGCCGGGTGGCTCTGTTGTGTACCTACAGGTCAGACATAATTACAAAATGAACAGGCCTATTGTGCTGCGACTTACTTAGGGCAGTCTGACAGAGTCTCACAAGCACTGAGAGTTATTGCTCTTATATAAGATGACAGGATATCATTTCATCCAGCAATCTTACAAACATAACAAATATGATTGTCATATTTCACCCTTAAAATATGTTGGGGATATTGTTGAATTAGTCCTTTGTGCTGGGTTTCTGCGCAGTATGATTGGATGTGCTCTCTTGGTAGATGGTGCCATGGCCACTAGTGCCAAGTAGTGATTTTATCATCACTGATGTCATTATTCAAATGATGTACCAGTGCACTTGAGATGACAAGTTGGATTTTATACGTGTACTGTGCTTTAGTATCTCTATAGAAAGGTTTACAAAATGATGTATTATGAGATCAATGCAGGCTTTCAATGATTGAACTGCGGTTAGTGACTCACATTCATGCCTCATAAGAGTCTTATTGTCAGGATTGTGTGATTGTGTCAGGATATTTCTTACTAATCTATTATAGACGTGGTTAACATTTCCAGTGTGGGGCTGATTTTGAGCCAGGCAAGCATTCAAATAGGTTAACCATCTTGCCTGCCTGAGCCTGCGCCTTCCCTCATGTAGGACCTCTATACCAACAGGTAATCTCTCTCACCTGCCAACCTCAACAAAGCCCACAGCTCTGGCCCCAGCGGAGCGTTTCACAACAACACACCATCAGTCACTCACTGAAAAGAAGCTTCATGTTCACACTTCTCCCCGTTCTGATGGAAAGATTTGCTTTTAGGGGGCGTGCAGCTGTTGCTAAACTCCACCATAAAACATGCAAAACCTACATGTCAGAAGCCTAGAAGACCAGACTGTATAGATGTGCTATGGATTCAGTATGAGGCTAAGCACGGAAGGAGCTAACCAGACTTATTAACCAGAACAACCCTACATATTTCCACGGAGTGGTTGTATCAGGTCCTTCTGTCCTATCTTGACATGGTAAAGGGCTCAGGTACTTTAGATCTACCAGTTAACTTGTGCAGTAAGTCCGACAAAGGATATCTAAAAAGGCTGATCTCTTAGATTTTTAGCTTGATGTTGAAAATACCCATTTTTAGGCTTTTCAATTGTGATGTAAAACAAAGAACGAGCTTCATCCTGCTGATGAAGGTTAGCTGGGCCCGGTGGTTGAAGTTGTCTTGATGTTTTAATGTCGGTTCTGCTACACTGACATTTTCCAGCCTCGCGCAGAAAGGCTTTGTCACATTGTGTTTACAGTATCAAAGCAGAATGCAGAGCTGCGGGCCTGCGAGACCTGAACTTTATACAGCAGAAACCGGCTGGTCTCGTCATGGTTTCTGGTCCCCTCTGTCCTATCGGGATGCCAGTTAGCTTGACGGTTTGCATGCCTTAACCTCAGTAGTGTAAGCGGGCTGGAGCTGCTTGGCTGCTTCTCATCCTGTAACACTTTCGTATCCCCTCCAATCCTCTCTTGCTCCCTCTGTCCCTTGGTCCCCGCCTCTGCCTTAATGAAGAGGGTAATCTACCATGAATAATGAATGGGGATTTGTATGTGTTATGGTGTGAATGCTTTTCTGGTTCTCATTATGCGCCTATCAGAACGGATCATGGGTTCAAGGAGTAGAGCCTACATCTGCTTTTCTCTCTGCTTTTGTTCCAGGCTTTAATGCAGACCATGAATGGCTTAGTGGGTTGGAACACTATTTAAAGGCACACCTAGAAGCTGTTTAAGTTGCCTGTCTTTTCCTGTTGATCTGTTCAGCCTTCTGTTAGACATAATGCGTATGGGCAGTTGTAATTTAATTTGACTTAGGGGCCATACCCACAACCACACTGGAACTAAAGCATTTTGAATTATTCAAAAGTTGTCCTGTCAATAGACCAGTCGAATCAACCACTTTCAAGTAATTCAAAATGACAACAGTGTCAAGTGAGATAACAGCTTTTCAATACTGTGTCAGTGCCACAGAGCTGAACAGCAGTTGTTAATGCCTTGTGCTCTTGAAAGTTGTGAGGGGCCTGTTTTTTTCTATTTTCGGACATTTGGTAGACCAAACAATTAATTAATAAAGAAAATAATTGGTTGATTGAAAATATTGGTCGGTGCAGCACTGACTGGAAAACAGCTAATGAAACCAACGTTTTCAATTTGTAATGTTAAACAGAAAACAAGAGCAAACATATATTTTCTGTCGATTTACTAATCTATTAATCAACCAATCATTTTGGTACTAGACTGTTATGTAGTTTACGTTGAAATGAACAAGAAACTACATCCACTTTTCTTGGTTATTATCATCCTGTTTTATAGATTCAACCTGCATCAGAGTACTGTTAGGTGATTTATTAGTATTTAAACACACAGCAGTAAGTACAACAGTTGGTGTTTTTATGATGTTTTAATATGTAATACTCAGTAATGCACTGTTTGTGTGACGGACCAGCCTCCATCTTAGTGATTGTTTTCAATCCATCATAAGATGACAGATCATTGATCCTGATATTGCAGACGTTTATGACACCCACCTTGTAAAATCCACCAGGGAGCAGGATATAAATCAAACTCAGCAGACCCTGTGAAAGCACTCTCATTGTATATTCATTTTCAAGGTGTTGTGAAGACACTGTGTGTCTGCTCCTAATGTAAATACACAGCGTGGAGTCAGGTCAGAGGGCTGCTGTACAGTTAGAAACATGTCATGACCTCATGCACAGTCTCTTTGTTCTTGATGCTCCAGTCTTGTTCAGAGTAGGGGGTCATAGTGAGTTCCTGATAGACCAGCAGCTGGTTTACATTATTGTGGCTAATCCGGGGTCAGCTTATGTTGATCCCTGACCAACAGATTTTCATGGGAAAATAATTCTTTATAGCTGAGGTGCAGGCTCTTTTACAAAGTACAGGTTTAATAGATTTGGAGGAAGGTGTTTCATTTAAATGTTAACACATTATGACGTTTCAATCTCCTCATTATTGCTGATGACACTGCTGTGTGGGTATATAATGCACATGCTTCATCTCTATACTGGAGGATTTTATAGGCATTTACAGTATGTGCAGCATTTACAATATGACTTTCCAGTCTCTGTCTCCTGAAGCTGTGTTCAAAATTGCCACCAATCTCAGCATCAGCATGGTGCAGCGGAGACAACATCCTGCTAACAAGCTGCAGTCCTACAAGTTACCAATACAAACAGCAGGCTCACAGCTTGCCTAATGAATCTCCTGGTGAATTGACCCTCTTGGCCTGTTGTCTTAATGCCTTCCAGATGCTTCAGTCTCTGTCCTTCAGCTTCCCAGGGCTCCTCTCCCACACAATCACCCATTCAGCAGCAGCTCTTAATAGCTAGTTTAAAATTACTTGGGGATAATTTAGTTAGCACTCCACTGTGGCCTGTTTTCTGTCTTGATGTCACCAGACAATGTAGTGGGAGTTCTGGCACTGACCAAGTGGGACTCCTGTTGGCACTGAGGCTTCCTGTCGCAGCGGTCATTGCTTCCTTCTCAGCAAAGGGTCATAATCACTTTTTCTCAAAGCAATTGGATTTACGATGAGGGGTTCATGTGTTCTGTCTCAAGCAAAGTCATTGAACAAGTATATAGTGGACACATGAAGACAAAGAAAAAGACATTTGGCCCTGGTGTCTTTATTTTCACAAGCTTATTATAATATTGAGATGTCCCAGCTCAACTGTCCATCCTCGCTCCCTTTAACAATTTAAATAAATCGTAACCTTTGACATCAGGTTTATATTTTGCCTGACCTTCTCTGTTGTCACTTGGTACTTTGTATCTATAAGACGAATAAGGAAACCTGTCTGAATGAAATAAGCAAAGTTCCACCACCATCAAATCCAACTTCCTTCAAGTCCAAAGGCTAAATATTGACTGTTAGATAGTATTCCACAATAGATGTGGATATCTTAAAATTCATGCTGTTGTGTGACAATGTTTTACTTTTCATGCCTCCTCGCCGGCAACAGCCGCAGAGGCATTATAAGTTCAGGTTGTCAATTCTCCTCAACATGATATCTCAGGAGTGTCTTGAAATTCTTCTTATAAAAGGATTTATTTTTTGAGTCTTTCTGTTAATGATTTCAGAACATTAATGATCAAGGTATAGACAATATTTTTTCTACATGACAAATTGATATTTCAATGTGTGTACAGATGATTCCTTTCTATTAAACTGCTTCCGATTAAAGTTAGATAAATTGCAAGGCGTCATCTCTTAGGTTTATTGGTTTAATGAAAAAATCAAGAAATGCTACATGTTGTTACGGAGCAGTTTATGCATCAGTTTATTTTCTCGCTTGCCAGCATTCCTCATATATTCCTATAGAG